AGAGGGTAAACCCAAAATGCGGCTTAAATTGAGCGCGGATGAAACTTTTATTATTATGTAGAAACTCTCATAATTTTTTGCGTTTGAATTTTGGTAAACTTTTGGCTTTTGTTCTACTTGACGTAAAGTTTGTGTGAATAACAAAATAAATATGGAAAGTATAATAGTTAAAATTCACTAAAAACATTCTGTGAATCAGTGGACATTAATTAATGTTCGGCGAGGACTTAAATTTGTTGAAATGCTGAATAAACCAGGGATTAAGTCGGGCTTTTAGTTGGGGGGCAAAGGTCGATAGCGAATGACTTCCGCGACCTGGGGGCTCTTTATCGCATGCATTATTCGAAATTGGCCGAAAACTAAGCGCGATGGCCAAAACGGTTTCCTAATTGGGTCAACAATGCAGTTAGAAATTACAGTTTGCGACCCCTCTCCAATAACCTGCCGCCCTCCATTCGAAAACCCTGTAATAGCTGCCGTTTTGGCCATTGTCCTGAGCATTTTGCATGTCATTTTGGTTAATTAAATTATTTACGTCGTTCACTTTTGGGTTTAGTCGAACGAGCATTCAAATTATAATACCAGTTAGTAGTAGAGCAAAGGGGTATTCTGTATTTGTTGAAAAGTATGTAACAGGTTGAAGAAAGCACTTGCGACCCCAGAAAGTATATAGTATATAATCCTGATCAGGATCATCAGACGAGTCGACTTATAAGTATAAGTTGCCACACCTTTTGGCAACGTTTAACTAAGTAACCAGTATCTAATAGTCGAAGCTCTCGACTGTTGCTTTTCTTTATTGTTTTAATTAGCAATTTCTGTCACAAAAACAAAATGCACTGAGCTAATTCAGTCACATTAAATTTATTTTAAAATGCAAACATTGTTGCTCTTCAGATGTTAATGTTGGTAAAGCTTAATTAACAATGTAAGCATATGAATAACTTATCATATGATTTATAAATAAATTCATAGATCACAAATATTTTGTTTTGTTACGCAGTTTTGCCTTTTTTCTTAGCTTTCCTCGTATTTTATGATGGCGTTTTATATAATAAAGAATTCAGTATTCATTTGACTTTTTGTTAAAGTAATTTTTTATTTAATTTTTTTTTAAGACTAGAGAACTACGAGGATAAACCATTTAAATCAATTATTGTTACCCATTTTTCTATTGATTTTCCACTGCCCATTTGAGGCCTCTCTGTTTGAAGCTTTATTGCCGTTTGCATAATGCAGCAATTCCAATTAGTTTTGCCAACTAAATTTCAATTACATTTCAAACACACTCGCACATGAGTAGCTCGGAATGCCATGGCAATGAAGTTGGCCAAAAGATGATTAAGGCCCACAAAGTGTTGCATAGTTTGCCGCGCACGTTTTTGGCACAACATCAAAATTAAATGCGGATAACGAAAATATAGAAATAAATTTTTGGAAATTCGCAGAGATACTCGCCCGTGCATATATCCATTTGAGGTTTTTCGATGGGGTCTAAAAGCCCGAAAGCATATCATTTGTTGCTCATTTAAATACCGTAATTAAGTGATATCATGCTATCTAATATGAGTTCCCATTCCGCTTTAAGTGGCGTGCACGCCGCCAATGGAAAATGTGGAAAAGTGGAAAAGCGGTGGGGCTTTAGAAGCGCAAACAGTTGCTTATTTTGAAATTTTATTTAGAGCTAATTGTTTCCTGGGCCAGGTCAGCAGTGGCCGGTAGGCCAAGTAGGGCCAGAACGTGAATAAGCCAGTTGGAAAGCAACCCCCCGAAGACCAAACACACACTTGCACACACACACACAGACACCCATACATGCACGAATGTGTATAGCGGCCTATATGAATACGCACCTCGGCAAAAGCCTGGCCGAAAGCCAAAGGACGGCCATCGATTGTTTGTTTATTTGCCTGTTTGCCATCGCCCGTTCACACCGCAGCGAATCGAACGAAATCGAAGGGGAAGGGGAGGGGGAAGTTGAAGGGGCGATCGGATTTAATATTTTCCTGCCCCATTCGATATACATTCAGTTTCTATGGCACGAAGGTAACTTTGGAGTGCTTAAAGGAGGCAAGGGATATATATTAAAATTGCCGGGTGTAGAGCACACAGCAGAAAGTAACTAGCTATATACTATATAATTAAATGGAATGAAAAATGTATATTGTTTATAAGTGGGTTAAGCTTTTACCCTTCTTTTCCTATTATAAAAAAAAAGATTTTAAAATGAACTGGAAAAATCTATTGGAGAGGATAAATGATAGACATCAGAATGATTTATAAATATTATGGAAATTTTATGTACCTATATTAGATTTCAAAAGAAATGTCTCGTTGACAATTTAATTTATTGCACCCAACTTGTGTATCTTGTGTATCGACATTAACCCTGTTAATTATCTGTTTTTGATAATAGCAATTATATCCAACGGTTTCCTGTCATACGCATCCCTTTCCCGCTTCCAGTTCAGTCAGTCCAGGGGATTAGGCACTGACAGATCCACATGGGGTCCAGTAGTAAACCTTATTCACCGTGGCCGCCCGTTGCGAGCAAAAAGTCAGCGGTTGCCACTGGACAACCCTTAACCCTTTAATAGGTCTTAGCACATGCTTCCCCGTTTTGGACCCCATTGCCCATTCCACCCACACAATCGTGTTTCTAACCGCGAACATACACAGAAAACAATACATGCAAATGTAAGAAGTTTCCAAGGAGATTTTTATGCCATTAAAGACTTAAAGTTGTCATACAAGTTTATTCATTTCATATTCAAGTAAGACTTTGGTTTTTTTCTTTTATTTTTAATTAAAAAAAAATATTTTTATTATTATTCTTTTATTTCTCTCCGTGTAGTTGGACATCAGGGCAAAAGAGATGGGGGGCGAGTTGCAGCTGCAGCTAATGAAACACATCTCCACGCTGGGTGGACCGCAGCAAGACGTGTTTAAATTTAGTTTTCGTTAATTTTCGTTTGTTGTCTTTTGTTGTCCAGCGGTTGCCTTGCCCTTCTGCCCCCCGCTCCCTCAAATGCCCCTGTTTTTTGTTGTTGTTGCTGTTGGTATCAGCAGCCGTTGCTGATAAGAGCGTTGCGGTCGTCAATTTGTAACGAAACATATGTTTGCCCCAAGTGACAGGCGCACTCACGCTGCGTTCTCTTGTCCGCTGATAAGGGAAAAACATGGAAGAGTGATCCGTTGAGGAGGAGGTGGTGGGTAGGGGGGGGGGAGAGCGGCACTGACTCAGGGAGCGGTCAATGTCCGTTGGGTGCCAAAGTGCCCTTTATAATTACTGGGGGTTACCCTCCAACAGAGCAACAAGGATATTCATTTTAAGTAGATTTAACACAACACAGATTTACACAACACAAAACTCTTTAAATTTAAAGATTACGCCGGAATTAAAAAGAAGAGTAAAGCGTGGATTTACTGTGAATAATACAAATAATAATTATTAATAATACAAACTATATTGGGTCTCGTATTATCATTTAAATGCCAAAAGCAGCAATAAATTATTAAACAAAAACCTTAAAGGGTATTTCATGATCCGATACCTCTTTCCTTCTGATTAATTTCTTCAATCCGATTCGATTCGCCCGGGAACAGTTGTCTTTACTTTACTTTGCTTTTGTTGGGCAGGGTCACTTCAGCGAGTTGTCATACAGATAAATATGTTTATTTGCCCGGACTTACATTCCAGTGTTTCCCTTTATGTATGGGTGATGAGTTTTTCTGTGTGTTTGGAGCTCAGCACATATTTACCTTATTACTCCGCTTAATGCCGATACACGCCGTCCTCATATCTATTTCCACATATATTTATCCTTCGCTGGTTCTTTTCCTTCGTGTTTACGTTTTGCATTAACTCACATATCGCATTTTATTTTTTCATTTCCCTTTTTCTTTACCTTCCCTTTGTAGGTAACATTTTTTTTTAATTTTTGCTGCCACTTTTGCGGTTAATTAAACCTTGCGGTCGCTTATTTTATGTAAATAAATGATAAAATACAAACCCACATTTATGTTTATGTCTATCTATTTATGTGGAAAAAAGTGCAGTTCGTGACCAGCTGCATCCGACCGAACTTTGTGTGCGGTTCAATTTGTTGGTTAATTTTTATTTGCTTACTGATAGCGGGCTGAGTAAACTCTGAAATGATGGATTGTTCAGCTTACAAATATTTGAAGAAAAAATCATACAGGATTGTTTTTTTAGGTGGAATGCCAACAAGGGGAAGTTAAATTCCAGTTGGAGTTTTAAATGTAACCGCCACATTTGCTACGGACACACAGGTGGCGGTAAAATAGATAATGATTTCAAAATACAGATGGCGCTACTTAATAGTATTGTGAAAATGTAAAACCTTTTAAATAAAAGTTTAATTTCAAAATTATAAAAAAATAATAAAAAGTGAGAACATGCTTAGGAAATGTACTGCTATAATTCAGTTATGTAAATACTTTTAGAAGAGAAAACCTTGATAAGAATAAAAATCTATTTTTAGGTATGCAGTACTATTATCTTTATTTAATGCTTATCTATCACAATAAAAGTATGACGACTCCTTATGAAATCAAACGATTTTCCCCAATTCGCAATAGTCTTGTTATCATAAACTATTAAATTATCCATTATTATTTCCATTAATGATGTTCTAAGTTCGTACGTGTCATATTGCAGCTATAAAACAAATTATAAAAGATTTTCCTTTGTTACCAACATAAACTAGCAAGATTATCTTTGTGATAAAGTACGTCATTAGGTGAGAAAATTTCCGTCTTTTTATCACTTGGATCATTTAGATCTGGTCCAGATCAAGTTGGAAAGCAGAACCCCACGGACGCCTTTATTGAAGGAATTTTGAATCTCTAGTGGAAAGTTTAGAGTTGTTAGTAAAGTAAAAATTATACAACTAATTAAATAAGCGTGATTGTTAAATAAAGTGATTTCAATTCTATTAATATTAAATATTTTTTTTGAATGATACAAAATAATATAAATCATGCAGGCTAATAAACTGCCCACTAATCCACGCGAATCTGCGGGGATTTGTTCCTCGCTTATGTTTTGGTATGTTTTGTTTGAAATCTAAACAAAAATGTGTAATAACATTAATTTAAAAATCATGTAAAATTATAATGATAAAATGCTAACGTTATCAGTAGATAATGAAAGCTTAAAGATCACATCTTTCATGACGGCTTATCATGATTGTATAATCTTTAATGACATTGGGTGAAGGAAGCTTGTAGCTTCCCAACAAAACAAACGATTTTCATAATATTTACTAATATCTGTTATTTTTCACAGCTTCGCGCTTCCCATACTTTTTAAGGGAAGAAAAAAGACCTTAGAGCCCACTGATCTTTACAAGGCTCTAAATGGACATAAAGCGGAAACTCTGGGGAATAAATTCTTCGAAACCTGGCAGAAAGAAGTTGAGTCCTGTCGGGATAAACCGAAAAAGGAACCGAGTATAATCAAGGTAATACTAAGAGTATTTGGATTCAAACTATTTCTATCCGGCATAATTATTGGAATTCTGGAATTGGGAACAAGGTAAGTAAGGATTTTTATTTTGCAATAATAAATACAATGTTATTTTATTTTTAGAGCTACTTTACCTCTCATTTTGGGAGCACTGATATCGGAATTTACAACCCATAAAAATGGAGATGGGCTCCAGGCTCAAATTTATGGATTATTACTGATTATAACTACTCTTTTATCAGTTCTTATGTTCCATCCCTTTATGATGGGTATGATGGTGAGTTTTTAATTTAATTTTTAAGCCTTTAAATAAAATTTTTTCTATTAGCACCTGGCGATGAAAATGAGAGTGGCAGTGAGTACGGCTATATATCGAAAGGCCCTCCGATTAAGTCGCACTGCCTTGGGAGATACAACCACGGGTCAGGTGGTTAACCTTTTGTCCAACGATCTTGGTCGCTTCGATCGAGCTTTGATACACTTTCACTTTCTGTGGCTGGGACCACTGGAGTTGCTCATAGCCTCGTACTTCCTATACCAACAAATAGGAATCGCTTCGCTTTACGGAATCGCTATATTACTTCTATATCTGCCAGTTCAAACCGTTTTGAGCCGACTTACATCAAAGCTACGACTTCAAACCGCCCTAAGAACCGATCAAAGGGTTAGAATGATGAATGAGATTATATCAGGAATTCAGGTGATCAAAATGTACACCTGGGAAAAGCCATTTGGAAGGCTAATCGAGAAATTGCGACGCAGTGAAATGAGCTCCATTCGCAAGGTGAACTATATTAGAGGTACTCTTTTATCCTTTGAGATTACTTTAAGCAGAATTGCTATATTTGTAAGCCTTTTAGGCTTCGTCCTGATGGGTGGACAACTGACTGCCGAAAGGGCTTTCTCCGTAACCGCTTTCTACAATGTCCTGCGGCGAACAGTGAGCAAATTCTTCCCGAGTGGAATGTCACAGTTTGCGGAATTGTTGGTTACTTTGAGGAGAATCAAAAAATTTATGATGAGAGACGAAACTGCAGTGCGAAGTGGACCTAAAATGAGCCTTTTTAAAGAGGAACCACTGGTGGAATTGCAATCCTTTCAAGCTCGGTGGAATCAAGAGCACGTGGATCCTGTTTTGGATAATATAAATTTAAGTCTAAAACCACCACAATTGGTGGCTGTTATTGGACCTGTGGGTTCTGGAAAATCCAGCCTGATACAAGCTATATTAGGTGAACTTCCTGCTGAATCCGGAAAGTTAAAGGTGCAGGGAAAAATCTCGTATGCCTCTCAGGAACCCTGGCTCTTCAATGCCTCCGTTAGGGATAATATCCTCTTTGGATTACCCATGGATAAGCAGCGATATCGCAAAGTTGTGAAAAAATGTGCCTTGGAAAGGGATTTCGAACTGCTCCAAGGAGATCGCACTTTTGTTGGTGAAAGAGGAGCTTCTTTGTCTGGAGGTCAAAGAGCTAGGATCAGCTTGGCCAGAGCTGTTTATCGCCAAGCGGATACGTATCTCCTCGATGATCCTTTGAGCGCCGTGGATACTCACGTAGGTCGTCATTTGTTTGAGGAGTGCATGCGCGGCTTCCTCAGAGATAAACTTGTTATCCTGGTGACCCATCAACTGCAATTTCTGGAGCATGCCGATCTTATAGTGATCATGGATAAAGGAAAGATAACTGCTATTGGAACCTACGAGGAGATGCTCAAGAGTGGTCAGGATTTCGCCAAACTGTTGGCTAAAGAGACCCAAGAAAAGGAAGAATCCGATCAGGAACAGGATAATGCAGCTGGCGATGCCAAGATGGATAAATCGAATTACTCCCGTCAAAGCAGTCGGTTGAGTAGACTCAGTGTGAGTTCAATGGACTCTGGCACGGATTCTGTGCTGGAAGATGACAGACAACCCGTTCAGGAATCGCGCTCCAAGGGAAGAATTGGGTTGGGAATGTATGGAAAATACTTTTCAGCCGGTTCTGGATGGTTCCTGGTTATCCTGGTTGCTTTCTTCTGCCTAGGAACTCAAATTTTGGCTTCTGGAGGAGATTACTTTCTTTCTTACTGGTAGGTATTATTTTGTTTCAATAATTCTATATTTTAAAAACTTGTATATTACAGGGTGAGAAACAATGACTCCTCTTCATCGGTGGACATTTACATCTTCAGTGGAATCAATCTGGCTTTAGTGATATTTGCCCTGCTGCGAACTCTGCTCTTTTTCAGCATGGCAATGCACTCCTCCACCCAATTGCATAATACCATGTTCCAGGGAGTTTCCCGCACCGCTCTGTACTTTTTCCATGCGAATCCCTCGGGAAGGATCCTCAATCGATTCGCCATGGATCTGGGACAAGTGGATGAAATCCTGCCCGCCGTAATGCTGGATTGCATTCAGATATTCCTGACAATCAGTGGAATTATTGGGGTTTTGTGCATCACAAATCCCTGGTATTTGGTCAACACAATGACCATGTTCCTGGCTTTCCATTTCCTTCGGAAATTCTATCTGAGTACTTCGAGGGACGTGAAAAGATTGGAGGCTGTGGCCAGATCGCCGATGTACTCGCATTTCAGTGCCACCTTAAATGGTCTTCCTACTATTAGAGCAATGGGTGCCCAGGATTTGCTGACCAAGGAGTACGATAACTACCAGGATCTCCACAGTTCAGGATATTATACCTTCCTCTCCACCAATCGCGCCTTTGGTTACTATCTGGATCTGTTCTGCGTGGCCTATGTTATATCTGTAACTCTGATGAGCTACTTCAATCCCCCGTTGGATAATCCTGGACAAATCGGTTTGGCCATAACCCAAGCTATGTCAATGACTGGCACTGTGCAGTGGGGCATGCGGCAATCTGCCGAGTTGGAGAACTCCATGACCTCCGTGGAAAGAGTACTGGAATACAAAAATCTGGAATCAGAGGGAGAATTTGATTCTCCAGCAGATAAGAAGCCACCAAAGAATTGGCCTCAGAATGGTCAGATTTTAGCGGATGATCTAAGTCTCAGATACAATCCGGATCCCAAAACGGATAATGTTTTGAAAACACTGAATTTCGTTATTGAACCACGTGAGAAAATTGGAATTGTGGGAAGAACGGGTGCGGGAAAGTCCTCTCTTATAAATGCGCTATTCAGATTGTCCTACAACGATGGATCCATGCTAATGGATAATCGAGATATAGCCGAAATTGGTCTGCACGATCTGCGTAGCAAGATATCCATAATACCACAAGAACCAGTGCTATTTTCTGGCACTATGCGTTATAATTTGGATCCCTTCGAGCAGTATCCTGATGACAAATTGTGGGAAGCCCTGGAAGAGGTGAGATATATTGCAAAGTATTTATCAGAATTTTAAATAACACTTATTTCTTTGATTAGGTTCATCTCAAGGAAGAGGTTTCCGAGTTGCCGAAGGGACTTGAAAGTATGATCGCGGAAGGAGGTGCCAACTACAGTGTGGGTCAAAGGCAGTTGGTCTGCTTGGCCAGAGCAATTCTTCGGGAGAATCGCATCCTGGTAATGGACGAGGCCACGGCAAATGTAGATCCGCAAACCGACGCCCTTATACAGTCAACTATTCGCAAGAAGTTCAAGGATTGCACCGTGCTGACTATTGCCCATAGACTAAATACAATTATTGATTCGGATAAAGTCATGGTTTTGGATGCCGGCAATCTGGTGGAGTTTGGTTCACCCTATGAACTTTTGACCCAATCGCGGAGCAGAATATTTTATTCCATGGTATTGCAAACAGGTCGATCCAGTTTTGACCACCTAATGAAAGTGGCTCATCAGGCCCACGAAAGTAAATTGCTATCGGAATAATTTCAATAAAATTGTAAAAATATTAACCAAACTTCTACGACTTAAAAAGACCCAATTTATAAGCACTTAAAAAAAAAACAAGCAAACTGTTGTAAAAAATTATATAAAAATTAAAAACAATGGTGTATAATTGTATATATGTATAATAAAATCAAGTTCCAAAAAATTGTTACAAATAGTATTTAGTCATTTTAAGAACATTACAAAGTTAAATAAATAAATATGCTTTACTTCTTTATGGTTAATATTAAAATTCAAATTAAACCGCCATATAAACTAAAGTAAGACCATTTGTCAGAAAAACATCTGTTTTTTTTTATCGAAATCGATATGTTCAAAACGTAAACAAACAAATGACCAAAAGGAGCGTAGAAACACTAAATTAAAGATGGCCAAAAACATCAAGAAAACTACGTTGGCCAACAAATTGGCCAAAAAGGGAGATGTTATCAAGCCAACGACGATAATAAGCAAGCAAGCTAGGACAGATAATGTGAGGGTAAGGTGTAAACTGCATTATAAGTATAGGAAAACTCAAGACGCAGTTTTTAACAATTTCAGGATATTGAGGACCTAGTGGGGGTTTCATCTAATGCAACGGGATCTAGTAACTCGATTTACTTCTCCCCCATTCGAACCCGAAAACAGCGTGTTATAAACGGGGAATCACTGAAAAATAATATCGTTAAAGTTGAAGCCTTATCTCCAACTCGAGTTGCACCCAAAAAGAATAAAAAGGAGGATCAGTTGGTATCCAAACTCCAAATAGGATCGGCTACGGTTGTTAAATGTAAGATTGTGCCAGATGTGGTCGACTCTCCTATTCGGATTGATAATATAAAGAAAGAATTAGAACCGCAAATAAAAAAGGAAATTGATGATATTAAAGAAGGTTTGGTTAAGATTAAGAAAGAAGTTAATTCCCAGGAGGAATCTCAATTATACCACGATGTAGAAGCACCTCATCCTTTTTGGTACAATCATTTGGAAAACATTCGTAACATGAGAAACTCGAATTCTGCTCCAGTGGATACAATGGGATGCCACCGCTGTGCGGATTCCACAGCAGATGCAAAGGTAATAAAATAATTTAATCAATACTTATTGAAAGATGGATAAAATCCCTTTCTTTTTACAGACACAACGCTTCCAGAACTTAGTAGCCCTGATGCTATCCAGTCAAACCAAGGATCAAACTACTTATGAAGCCATGAATCGCCTTAAAGAACAAACTCTTACTCCACTCAAGATAAAGGAGATACCAATTGCGGAATTGGAAAACTTGCTGCATCCCGTTTCCTTCTATAAGGTAAGAAAAAAATTAGTTGCATCCAAAAAATACTCATAAAATCTTTCAACAATTCATATTAGAACAAAGCCAAGTACCTCAAGCAAACAGTTGATATATTGTTGGACAAATATGATTCAGATATCCCGGATAATCCCAAAGAACTTATTGCTCTGCCTGGAGTCGGTCCCAAGATGGCTCATATATGCATGGCAGTAGCCTGGAACAAGATCACCGGAATCGGAGTCGATGTCCATGTACATCGGCTTTCGAATAGATTGGGTTGGCTCCCAAAACCTACGAAAGAACCGGAACAAACCCGAGTCGCATTGGAAAAGTGGCTCCCATTCAGTCTCTGGTCGGAAGTAAATCATCTTTTCGTCGGGTTTGGACAAACCATTTGTACCCCAGTTAAGCCAAATTGCGGTGAATGCCTAAACAAGGATATTTGTCCTTCAGTTAACGTACAAATTAAGCCGAAAAAGAAGAGTGACCGCTAAATAGGCTTTGTCAAAAAGTAACTAAAAAGTAAATTGTCGTAAAATTGAATGTATAAATTGTGTTAACAAAACTCAGGAAATGTAACGTAAAGGACTACAAGTCCCTGCCATCATACAAATGTCATTGAAAACATTCTTAAGGTTTATCATTTTCATTTAAAAGTATTTTATAAGTAGGTAATAAGAAACAAATTTGTGATTGAGTGCAAAACACATTACAAAACCAGTGCTGCGTTTTATATGGAAATATGGAAAAAAACTCAAATGAGCAAGGGTAAAAAAATCGATCGTCAATAAGGAATTTATTAAATTTAATTTAAATTTAAATTAATTAATTAACATTATTATTGAGTTGGTATATTTGTATATACTAAACAGTGGTATTCCAACATTTACCAAACGACCACACTAAATAAAAAGAATTGGCGCGTTTTGTTGTTTATTGTTCGGCTTCTTGCGAAATTCATTTAAAAACCAACTTCTTAGCTCTAAAAATCCATCAAAATGAATGATTCATGTAAGTGCAGGTATATTGTTTTCCAAAATCCATATATAAATGGTTTAATCCTATTTTAGTTGGAGATTTCAATGCTACTCAAACTGCGCCTGCTGGAGCTGCCAGCAATCAAAAAGGAGAGGTAAGTAAACGAAACTCATGTAAAACCAACAAATTAAATATGTTTTCCCATCCAATAAACTAGGGAATAGTACCTTTGGTGATTAAGCAGATTGTGGATGCACCGGAGGGAAACATCGAAATGTTTGGAATGCAGTATGCAATGGTCTGTGTGGCAGCCATAGTGCGAAATATCGAGACATCCTCGACGAAGATTACATACACTCTGGAGGATCACAGCGGCAGGATCGACGCGCACTATTGGCTGGAGGAGGGTGACGCCCTGAAGGCCCCCGAAGTCATGGTCAACAACTATGTAAAGGTCTATGGCACTACTCGTTCGCAGGCGGGTCAAAAGACCCTGATGGTCTTTAAGCTGCTGCCCGTTTTGGACCCCAACGAGGTGTGCACCCATCTCCTTGAGGTTCTCAACGCCCGCTACAGGGCGGAGGATTACCAGAACAAGGGCGGATCCGATGGGGCTGCAGCCGGTTCTGGCTCCATAGCCAATTTCACCGCCTCTCAAAGTACGGCTATTGTCAGTGGGCTGGATCCCAAGCAGCAGGCCGTCTTCCAGGCGATCAAGAGCAATGTTTCCGAGGAGGGCATCTCCCGCAAAGAACTGAAGGCCAAGTTCTCCCACATCAGCGACTCTGAGTTGACGTAAGGCTGTTTAGATCATATAGAATTTTAAAGAAACATTGACATGGATTCTTTTTTTTGTTTTTTTTAGCAACATTCTGGACTTTATGATCTCTGAGGGACACATTTACTCCAGCATCGATGCAGATCACTTTATTTGCACTATGTAAATCGAATCTGAAATGGAACTTTGCTATAATACGTATTAATATATTAGGTTGGTAAAAATATGGAAAGATTTCATACAAATTGAGTCTTGAAACAAGAATATTTATTCTTTTGATTTGGTGGGTGTATCGGATAGGTTACCCCTGTTAGGCATTGCTGTTAAAAACTATGCACTAAAACGTGGTGGAAAAACCGGCTACCCGGGTCGGTGAAAAAACATCGGCATATCGATGCAAACCCAAATTTACAATCGAATTTCAAAACATCGATACCATCTTTTGTTGCACAGATGATTTGCTATAGTTTCTTGATTCTCGGTTCAAGTCGGACGGTTTATTTCCCTCCCGGTTAAAAGTTCACCGGCAGCCGGCTTAACAACAGCTTATCAATGATTTAATTTAAAACCCTTAGTCAACTTAAAAATCGAACAAAAGCAAGTAAAAGCATGGCAAACAATAATAAAAACTGGCTGCAATCTGCGCTTCTTGTTGCTCTCATTTTTGGGAGTTTCGGTAAGTTAAAATATTGAATATTTAATTTTGATTGGATTGTTACTTTAAAGCGGATGCTAAGCACGTAAGTTAAGTTGAATGAACTGTTTGTTGGTGCGCTTACCCACACAAACCTGTGATAAACAAAAACATTGACATTGCCGCTCCCCCAATCTCACACAAACAAGAAACTAAAGAGAACTTTTATCTGACACACTTTCCAATTGGAGCAGCTGACTTTGGACAGTGGCTTAAAAAGGTGGCGAAGGTGCTAAAGTTTTGAAGGTCAATGAAATTATCATTTGTGGCTTAATATATTTTTCTATTACTAGTTCTAATTCTTTTACTGAAGAATCAGATTATATCGAAAACCACATTATTTTTTTAGATATTAGATAGTAGTAGCTACCCAAAACGACCTTTGTTATCTATCGCCACATCCCACTTTTTGCTTATCTTCTCACCATACGAAATTCTATTTTCCACTATTCGAGATAGTGCCACCCACTGTGCAGGGCCACTTGTTGATAACCTCGACCCAGGCTAAGTAAATGAAAAATAGCAGCTTGTGGCTCTGCTTCTGGGTGAAAGTTATAACAACTCGATTGACTAATGACGTGTTCCATTCTTTCTTTTTCGCCCACATTTCTTCAGACCTTGGAAGAGCGGCTTTAATCTCTTCGAACAGCCAGCAAATATTCAAGCTGCAGAATAAAGTGATTTTGGAGGAACTGGGAAAAGATTCAAGTGCCAAAGAGACAAGCTATAAGTTTGAGACTGACCTGAAGATCAATTCGGTTTGGAGCCAAAATGAAGATCAGTTGCTGGAGGTTTTCATCAGCGGAAGTAAAGTTGATACCTCTGGAAAAGTTCGTTCCATCACCAAAATACCCGACAGACCATTTTATATCAGTCTTGTAAAGGGTCAACCCGAAAAGGTCATTGCACATACTTCAAAGGACCAATCCCTGCTTAATTTGGAGCGGGGAATTGCCTCCCTTCTGCAATTGAGATTAGATGCCTCCCAGGATGAGGAATTGGATGTTTCTGGCCTGTGTCGAGTGTCCTACAATGTCAAATCCTCAACGAAAGTGGAGAAAGTCAAAAGAGACTGCTCTCTTTGGAATCTCAGGGTAAACACCCACCCAGAAGAAGCTCTAGGTGTTACTCAGCAAGCCCAGGAGCTGGTCTCCTATGAACTCTCTTCAGAGGGATCCCTTTTAAAGGCTGAATCTGTAGAGAACCACCAGCTAAACCTGGCAGCCAAGCCTGATGTGGGAACATCAGTAAAAAGCATTTTCACCATACAACACATCTCCCAAGGATCTGAGGATGTTAAACAGTTGGAGCAGAACAGTTTAGATGAGGCCATTAAAAGCCTGCTGGAATGGTATCGCGTCTTTGACATAGAATCCGATGTCGATGGAATAATCAGCGAGATCAAAGAGCAAACTGTAAGTGACAAATTATACATCCATAATCCTATAAACTAAATAAATTTTTTTTCTCTAGCTAGAGGAGCAACTGAAGGAATCTCTGAATGAACTACAATCCAAGGACGTAGGCAAGTCTTCGCTGGCTTTGGCTTACGTGAAACTTATTCCTCTGGCTCGCATCACCATGCAAGAACAATTCGAGGAGCTTCTTAAGGAGCACAGCAGTCTTCTGCCCCAATTGGTTGATCTCTTGGGTGCCGTGCAAACCTTTGATGCGCATAATGCCACTTTTGGATTCCTTTACAAGGATGCGGAAACCACCAATGAGCAATTGGAGCTGCTAGAAAAGTACTTGCAATCTCTGGCGGTTGCCACTCATCCGGATAGGAAAATAGTGGAGCATTTGTTCAAATTACTAGAGGTGGAAGCCACCAAGAAGCAGTCAAAGTTGAGGGAGAGCATTATCCAAACTCTGGCTACCTTGACCCGTCAAAGCAGATTCAGTGCTCATGATCCTCTGCTGCAGCAGGTGCAAACTTATCTGCTGCAAGGCCTCGCCTCCAAGGAACCCATTTTGTATATAAGAGCTCTCCAAAATCTACAGGATCCTGCCACCATTCAATCCCTACTGGAACAGGCTCAAAGTGGCGAGGATCCGAATTCCTCTGTGGCTGCTTTGCAGGCTCTGAAATCATTCCCTCTGAGCAGCTTTAATTCCACACATCGCCAGCAGTTTGAAAGTATTTTCTACCAACGAAAGCGACGATTCGACAGCTCCGCTCGCACTTTGGCTTTGGATATCATTCTATCGCTGAGACCAAATCAGGAACAATTAGGTTATCTTCTGGATTACCTTGCATCGACTGATCGTCAGTTTGAGATTAAAACATATGTGCTCCAGAAACTGAGAATGTTGGCTGAAAAGTGTCCGCGATTCCGGGCTTTGTTCAAAACGGAGCTGGCCAAAAGAAGGCATGTGAACAACTACAATGTGTTGGGGCAAAAGGGTGAGTATACAGATAATCTTACTGATTATTTGATCAATATATTCAACTATCTATTTTCAGGACTTACTACCGTCCTAACCCGTCAGCTTTCTGTGGCACCTGCCTTCAATGAATCCCTTTTGAGCACCCAGGAAGTGTACCAGGGAATCCTTAAGCGTGGCTCAGTGGAATTTTTGCTCCATGCTGGACGCTCACAAGCCAGCAGCTTTAAATTGGGCATCTACACGGCTGGCTTGGGTTCGATGGTGGGCGATGGTGACTCCGGCGATGGAAATGACAACATCCCGGCGGACGATGAGTTTGGCAGCGAGGAGACAGTCACTGCAGGCATGGAGATCAGTGTGCAGGGTGCCCAATTGCGTCCCCTCATCTTCTTCAGCGGCCAGACTGAACTCATGGGTCACGTGTGGGGAGGAAGTGCCTCGGACTCCACGCCCGCCTACCAAGCAACTACTTTGGCCCAGGATAACGAGCACTACATAATCCTGGCATCGGGAGCCACTCTGCATTGGCAAGTGCTGGGGGCTAGGAGTGTGGATCTCAATGGCAAGGTTGGATTCAGCTTGTGGAATCGGAATGCCCAAACGGAGATTCAGCAAAAGTGAGTGGGATGATTGAATTTAATAGATGAAACATCCCATTTAAATCATACTTTCTTATATTCTTAGCACCGGCAGCGCTGTTTTGGGGCACGTGGCTGTTGGTTTCACCTATGCCAAAATAGTGCAGGACTTCAGCCTCACACACGAACCAAAACTGAGTCTGAACGCGGATCTAGACTTCTACAGTGGCATTAAACTCTGCATGCAGCTTCAGCGACCCGAACAGCTTCTTAAGTAAGTTGCTCCAGAAATATTACTTTATCACAATATGTTAATTAATATTTTTTTGCACAGGGAAACCAACGCTCGCTCTGTTTTTCTGCAGTCTGTGGATCGTCCTTATGCCAAACACGTACGTTCTCAGCGCTTTCATAAAACGCCTGGCTGCACTTTTGCGCTCAATCAAAAAAACAATGAAATGTGCAACGTCATTTTAAGCGAAAATTAGAGATATTCGTTGAGATTATTTGAGATTCCTTACAAAAAAAAAAAGAGATAAACACATTAAAACTGTAACTCTTTGTTAAAAACTCGGAGATTAAGACTCGATATAGTTGTAAACTCAAACGAACAAAAACAATTTATTTTTCAAAATCAACAAGTATTTCATTTCGAACCGGAACCCTGTGGTAAATATATAGGTACCTTTTGTTTTCAGCAATTCTTTTTCAAAAAACTATACTTTTAAGTTAAATTAAGCGCCTTAAGTGTTGCAAAATTCTTACATTGAACTAATCGAATTATCGATAACTTACAAAGTACCATCTCCATCACATAACGACGTGCTTCTTCTTCAATCCGCGGCAAAAAAAAAAATCAAAACGCTCGAAAAGTAAATAACAATATTGCGAAAGTATAAATTTAAGCAAAACTGAAAAAGATTGCTAAAAGTGGAAACTATTTAAACTCGATAACGGTCCTGCTTTAACAATTAGGCCAGCAAATGTCTTTCTTCCTCTTGCCTTGGCAGCATTAGAAGAGGCTCGTCTCACACACACACGCAAATGCCAAATCAAATCATAATCCAATTGCCCAAAACAAATACTCCCATTCACAAGACTTAAAAACCAGTCAAATCAAACAGCTTAGGTTTATTAAATCGATATTTGTGTCGCTAATTTACGCTTTTAAATAAAGTGCTAAGCTGAGTCCTAAAATTAACAACATTTTTTTGCTTTTTTTAACCCACACAAACACAATTGGAGTGAGGGAGACACTAATGGGAGAATAGGAAAGAGAGTGAGAGAGTTTTTGTTGTTGCGCTATGCGACGTGTTCCGTTTATTTTCTTAAAATTCTTGTGAGAGTGTGTGGGAATTTCTGTTGCGTGAAGTTGCAATAAAGAAAACCACGTGTGAAATGTTCTGCAATATTTACATTTTATATTTCCTAAAAGAAGAAAAACACTTAAAAACTGCTGTCAAAAGCGTTTGTTTGCAACCAAATTTATAGGCATTACCCGACGATTTTAACATAAATTAACCGGCAAAATTAGCATTCGTATTTTTCATTATCGCACCCATACAAAGGAAAGAAAGAGTGGAAATACAAGAAAACAAAAAGAGAGTAAGATCCACCCAAAAAAATATCTAGTTCTGCCACTCTTTCTGGCTTATATTTTTATTACGCGATAATGACAATTTGAAAACACGCTTAACTGATTTAAATGATTAAAAAATATACACATTTGTTATTTCAATTGTTACATTTATTCGTTTTTTGGCTCGGGATACTCGAACACTTGAAAATTTTTGATAGAAAGTTCTAGAATATTGAAAGTATTGAGTTCAAAAGAAGAACTATTTTCTCAAATGCCACTGTAAGGGGGCACCTCTTTTCCACGCACACTTGCGCACTTGCTGCTCTCTCTCCCAGTCCCCAATCTTCCTACTCTCCCACATTTTATAACGGTTTTAGTCTATAAATATTGCCAAAAATGTATTCGGTTCTAAAGGTGCACTTTTCCAAATTTATCTTTATAAAATATAGTTATAAAAATTTATGTTTGATACATGTTTATTACTACTTTTTATTGTTTACTGCTGGAGTTCCCCCTCTCTCAAACTTCCCTAAATTTTTCTGGTTCGACGTCGAACCTAAGACATCGCACATTGGGATTAATTGTGGTTGTACCATTTTTTAAAACTGTACATATGTCTTATTGTTTTACCTTCTCGTAGATTAAATAAAAAAGTTTTATTTTCTTGATTAAACTGCTTTTAACTCTTTCTAGTATTCTACATAATTTAAAATTCGTTCAAAGTATATTTATTGCACACCGTGCATCGAACCTCAGAGAGCCAAAAAGGCGAGAGAGGTTCGAAGACCCAGTGCAGCTAAATCGTTCGGGTATAGTCCGTTAACGTTCGGGTTGCGCTCTCATTGTAATATCACAGGCCATTTTATACCCAACGCATCGCATAAGGGTTAATCCGCACACTCCATTGCTCTTACTAGAAAACACGCTTTCACTCGCACTTATTGTAGATATTGTTAACGTACTGACGAACCCGACGAGACTACCTTATACTTATTGTATTTAAGCAACTTGCAAATCGCGCTATTTGTTATTGCACGAAAATTTTTCGACCGCGCAGCTGGTGTTTTCGGTTTCTGTTGAAATTAATATATTAAGATATCTAAACAAAAAATGGATATAGGCCGAAAGAAATTAAACCGCTATAAATATAAGAAATAAATGACTACCGGATATTTTCAATATATTTTTGACTGTTCGCTCGCAAGGTAGTTGTTTCTCCTCTCGCTCTCTCACTCTTCCGCTCTGTGTGTGCGTGTGTGTGTGTAAAGGCCATCAAGCGCCTCCTCAGCCTCCCCCGCGCCACACCTCCTCGGGCTGTAGAATAAATTGGGTAAAGGAATTTATATCCTGCTCTTTTAGAATTTACCTGTGAAAGTGAAAACGTGACAACACGATAAAAAGAACGAGGCAAGCAAAACAAAAACGAGTGCATAAAAAACAACAACGAAGGAGAAGGAGAAAAAGAACAAGTGCATCAAAAAAAAAAAAAAAAAAACAGAACAAGAACACAGAAAAAAGTAAAAATAATCAACGAAGGAAGGGCACGGAAACCGACAACATAAAGAATTGACAGGTAAAAAACGTTCTCTCTCTGGTTTTTTATCTCCCTCTCTCTTTAAGAATATTTTGTTGAGTTTTTTATGATTTTTTTTTCCATGAGTCACTTATTTTTTATAACACTTCTATAATGTTTTAATCATAAAATACTAATTTTGAATGATTCATTCTAATCATAACAGCATTCTAATTTTTCTTTTCCTAAAATCCCACTAAATTTTATAAGCCCTAAAACTCCGTATTTTTTAGTGTTCATGTGCTCTTTCATACGTAACTGATTAGATAGACGTTTTTTCGTTCAACCTTGCACAATTTATGACGGCAGCAAACCATTTTTTCCAGCTTGATAGTGGGTTTTAAAAGTTTAAAAATTGTAAAAGTTAATAAGTCCGTCCCTTAAATAACTCTGTAGGGGTTGACGTTTCGTTGTTTATGGAAATTGCAGGGGATTATGTTTAGTGGAAGATTTATTTTTGGCTGACATTCTTATGATGGTATTGTATAACATATTTTATAAACCTGATTTACCTGAATGATTGACTGACGAAAAAAGGAGGTCCCCGACAATCCATCGTATTTCCCCGTATCAATTTTAGATAAATATTTTATGTCATGTTTATTACTTCCCATGAGTCACCGATAAATATCACATTTCTTGGGCTTGACATTTTACTTTGGCGAAATACTTATCCGTTTGGGGATAATTATATACATATTTAGGTGCACTCTCTCCTTTTTTTAAATTTGAGAATATTAAAATAATTACTAGGCCGGGAACAAAAAACTTTAAAACTTGAGAAATATTAGTTAGATAACTTTTGAAAACCGAGTAAGCAATGGACAAATTGTATTTGGGTAAACTGTCTGTCAACTGGTCCCATCGAATCGATTGCTCACGTGAGTTGGCCGGTACAAAACGACTTTTTAAATTTGACTCACAAAATCATAAAAAAAGTCGTGCAATTTACAGATCCGGCAAGCAGACAGCAAAAAAAAAAAAAAAACCAAAGCTGACCGACTGGAATCAGAATCAATCGATTTCAATAAGTCAACGTCGCTTTGCACTGAGTCTCACATCCATCCATTTATCTATCCGTATATCCAATCCACACAGGAAGAAATAAAGATGATTTCAGGCAAAAATATATTTATTTTTTACAATACCCAACGCTATAAACGCATTTATATTTCTCGAAACTTATAAAATAAATATGGTTTTTATGGTTCAACTAATAAAAACATGAAGTGAAACAAATTAAACCATTTTCGGGAAATCAAATATATTTTTGTGTGTACCACCCATCCATATCGCATATTTTGCGATGTGTGTACGTGCCTAGGCGACGACAACGTGATTTATTCGGTGATTCACGTCGATTATTGTCCAAGTGCAGCCGACAAGTTTCTGTTCATAAGTTTCACAGTACTGTCAGTCATTTGGTTCATTGAACTCTGCCTAAGGGTCTGAACTTTATCGAGAGTAACCAACTAACCCAGTGCCTCCACCCTTGGCAACGCATTTCAGGTGGGCAGAAAATCAATATTTTTTTCGGCCAACTCACCCCTTTAAAATCGCTTGGCTGAACTCTGCTTTATTTTATTTCTGTGGCCACGACAATGTTGCACAAACTGGCCGCTCGTTAGCCGTAAATCTGGCTGGTTTTGTCATGGGACCTGGTTTATGTTAAATTACCAGAAAATTAATTGTTTTAGCTTGCGCTTGAGCTTACGAACAATTCGAAACCTTTCCCCTCTGGGGGAAAATGGTGTTAAGTTAGGTTAGTATTATTGCTCAAGCCAAAGCACAATACCTTTTCTGTCTCATCTTTGCTTTACTTATGAAATGTAGCTTTTGGTTATTTATACGCGGTTGAGGAAAGCCTCGGGATTCTCAATCTTCGGTTACTTTTGTATAATTAGATACATTTATTTGTCACACATCTAGGATTTGCCCTATTTTTGAAGATATCATGCATCACGTTGTTTGTAGTTAAGTTTGATTAAATTAGGCGATTATCTGTTTTTATCGTGTGATACCACTTATAGGACATGATCACCTGATGTAGATAGATACCCGGGAAACTTCACACATAGAGCCGCTCCACTTTATGGGAGGCTAGCGAAAATAAAAGCCCACACGCTCATAAATCCTAATCAAATTTATTAAATCAAGTACTGGCCGCGATGTGTTAATGATAGAACAGAGAAGCGAAACAAAAATACGCCCACCAGATGGATTTCCTACACTCGAACATAAAAAAGCGCGACTAAAATAAAATTAAACATGAAACGCTGCACATGAAAGGCAATTCGCGCGATGTGGACGCACTGCTCCATATATAAATCCTATATAGAGAGCAGAAACATGGCGGGCATATATGCCCGAGATACCAAACAATCAATTTGTGCCCGACTTTGGGTATGACTTTGTGTCGTTTGCTCGTTCGGTAATTGTGCGGCATTAATTTGTGCAAGTAATTTCATTGAGCCCGATCTCGCTTG